GGCGCGGCGCCGCGCCGAGCCCATGCGCCTCTGCATGCCCTGCAGCTGCGCCTGGCCGTGGTGGAGGCCCTGGGGCCCATGAGCTACCTGCTGCCCGCCGAGAAGCTGGAGGAGCAGCTGCCCAGGCTCATCCCTGGCGTGCTCGGCCTCTACAAGAAGCACGCGGAGGCTTTCTGCATCTCCAAGGTGAGCGGAGGYTCGCGGCGCGGCGCCCGGCGCCGCCGCCTTCCCCGCTGACCGGGCGCCCCGGTGCCCGCCAGAGTCTTTGCCAGATCCTGGAGGCCTCCGTGGGCATCGGCAGCCGCAGCCTGGAGGCGCAGCTGGACGCGCTGCTGGGCGCCCTGCATGCCCAGGTGAGGCTCCGGGGTGGGAGGCTGCGTTCCGGAGCCTCCAGCGCGGAGGCCGCCCCAGCTGGGGCTGCCTGGGGTGGGATGCACAACCCGTTGGTTCCCTGCGGTTCGGGCTCCATCCTGCGCATCCCATCCCAAGGAATCGCGGAGCAGGAGGCTCGGGCTGCGCCCCGCGGTGCCACCCTTGGCATCGCTCGCCGGCGGAGCTCGCTGCGCCCGCGGGAAGCTCCCGYGGGACCGCGGCGCCCACGGCTGCTCCGCGTGCCCGCAGCCTCTCCTGGCATCAGTGCCCAGATCCAATCCCCGGTTTAACTAAACTAGGGAGCCCAAATGGTGATTTAGCCTGGAGAGCGGCACGGAGGGCAGTGCCACCCGGGCGCTGGGGGCATTGGAACAGCGCAGGGGCCGGAGCCAGGAGCCGGAGCCGGCAGCTCCCGCACGGGCCTCGTTCCCYGGACCTGAGTCCGGCGCGGGGCTCGGGAGGCTGGAGGCCGCTCGCTCCGCRCGTCCCCACGTCGCCCGTGCCGACGCGGATCGGCTCCGGAGCGCCGGGACGCGCCGCCCGGCGCCCGCTCTGCGCTCGCTCACCGCGGTGTCTCCGCAGGTCTGTGCCCCGGCCGAGCCGGCTGTGCCCACGAGCGCCAAAAACCACACGGAGGTTCTGCGGTGCTTCACCGTGCTGGGTGAGCGCTGCCGCCGCGGGGCGCTCGGAGCGGGAGGCCGGCGCGTTCCTGCCGGGAAGGCTGGAGGCCGGGCAGGACCTCGGGGCCT